AAATAAGAAATGTTCTGTGTGGTATTCAAAGACCTTCATAATATAGCTTTCTCCTGACTTTTCAATCTTCTTGCTCCCTGACACATATTCTTTGATCCAGGTATATAGGCCTCCTGACTGTTCCATGAATAAGACACTCCATGTCTTGGCTCTGGGCATTTTCTCCAGCTCTCTCCCATGCCTGGAGCACTCACTCTCCTCTGCTCAGACTACTGACCCCCTTGGCTTCAAGTCCCAACTAAATCCCACACTCCTACAAGAAGCCTTCCCTAATACCTCTTAATTTCAGTGCTTTCTCTCTCTTAAATATTTCCTTTTTATTCTGTATATAATTAGCTTTGTATATTTGTTTGCATGTTGTCTCCTCTATTAGATTATAAACTTCTTGAGGACAAATATTGTCTTTTTCTTCTTTTGTATCCCCAGCACTTGCATAGTGCTGGGCATAGAGTAAGTGCTTAATAAATGGTTATTGAACAGAAATGATTTAACTTTGTTTACATTTGTTACCAGTAGAGTTAAGGAAGAAAATACTGTGTTGAACTTGACTCAGCTATCATCCTATAAATGCTTTATTTGCTTATAGTGATTTTGAATTATTTTCCTTTTTCTTAGGATTCTTTGGTGAGGGTGGGGTAGAATCATGAAGTATTGTACAAATAAATTAATTGGCTCAGGCAGCTGGGTAGCATGTAAAGTATGAACCAGGCCCAGAGTCAGGAAGACCTGAATTCAAATCTGTTCTCAAGGGGCAGCTAGGTGGCACACTGGATGGAGCACCAGCATGGACCAGGCTCAGAGCCTAGAGAAGCTGAGTTCAAATATGGCCTCAGACACTTGATACTTACTAGATGTGTGAGCCTGGGCAAGTTACTTAACCCTATTGCCTAGCCCGAAAAAAACAAATTAAAAAAAAAATCTGTTCTCAGATGCTAACTAGATATGTGACCCTGGGCAAGTCACTTGACCTATCTGTTTCATTTTCCTCATTTGTAAAATGTGGATAATAATGATATAATCATGATCACTATTATTATTATTATTATTATGAGTTCACACATCTTTATGGCCCATCTGAATTATCACCGTTGAATTATTTTAGGTGTTAGACATCAATGGATAGATCAGTCAAGTAAATAAGCATTGATTAAGAACTCACTGTGTTCCAGATAGGGTACCAAGCACTGAGATACAAAAGAAAAAAAAAAGGAATCAACCACATATTTTTTGTTCTCAAGAAGCTCTCATTTCTGTGAGGGAGATAACAAGCAAATAACTGCACATCTTTGATCTATACGGTACACATAAAAGATAATCTTAGGAGAGCACTAGCAGTGGGTAGAATAGGAAAGGTCTCTCTTTTGAAGCTGGGGCTGGAGCTTTAGAAGGTAGGAGAGTACACAGAGAATCACATATACCAATGACTCAGTGCTACAGCCTGTTCGGCTTCTATTTACTTACCTGTGTACAGACTGAATTTTTCCAGTAGAACATTGAGGACAGGGACTGCTTTGTTTTCTGTTATCATACTATGGTGAAGTGACTCACACATTTTGTTGTTGTTCAGTCATTTCAATCATGTCTGACTCATTATGACTCCATTTGGAATTTTCTTGGCAAAGATACTGGAGTAGTTTTACCATTTCCCTGTCCAGCTCGTTTTACAGATTTTTGCGTAAGAAACTGAGGCAAAAAGGGTTAAGCGACTTGCCCAGGGTCACGTAGCTAGGAAGTTTCTGAGGCTGAATTTGAAATCATGAAGATGAGTCCTCCCGATTCCAAACCCAGTGCTCTAACCACTGTATCACCTTGCTTCCCCTGACACCGCAAACCATGACTTACACATAGGAGACATTTAATAAATATTTATCTCATTAAAATTGAATCTTACCCTTCCTTCAAGGCCCAAGACGAATACTTTCTCTTCTGTAAATCCTTCTGTCATCAGATGATGTTTTACCCTATCTGAACTATCATACATTTTATCTTTATTATTGTTCTTTATTATTACTAGTCATTTTGTGTGTGTGTGTGTGTGTGTGTGTGTGTGTGTGTGTGCGTGTATGTAATTGCCATTTCAAGTACATTCCATGTCCATTAATTGCAGGGGCCAGTTCTCATTTTTCTTTGTATTCCCCATATAGAACCTAAGACATTGTAGTAATAGTTATGGAGTAAATATTGATTAATAGATATACAACAATTTTTTTTAAAAAAATGACTAACATATGTAGTTAGGAAACCAATTGCTACTGCACCTCACCAAGGTATTTTTACAGAGATACCTAAACTACTTCAAATAATTTTGAATCTGCTATAAAAAGTTTGTGACAGAATATATGGGTCATATACCCAAACAGGAAAAGTAGCTTAGAATGTATTTAATTTGAAAGGAATTCAAAGTTTTATGAACACACAGATTTATTCTACTAATTGCTTTTTTTCTTTCTTTTCATGTTCTTTTTGGTCATTATAGTAGAAGGAAATTGTATTAGTTTTAAAGCAGATTTTTTTTTTCTTCTTTCAAAAGGCCATAAAGGTTATAGTTTAGAATTTTAGTTTCAGTAGTTGCTTATTAATTATTTGTGGATTTGGCCTAGTTTCTCATTTTTCCTATTTCTTTTTGTCTTTCTTTGTTCTAGTCTATACTTATAAATCTACAGAAGGGAGAGAAATATATTCCTACTTATTTAGATATATGTTTACATATTTTGATGAGTCTGTTATTTATTAAGGCCATTCCCACCATCAATGTGGGTTGACACTTCAATATCTTCTTAACTCTGAGGTCTTCATTTGTTCTTCTCCTCATTCTTTATATGACATTATTCAATCCTCCACCCTCCTAATAATTCAAGATATATTTTTTTCATGTCAGATCCATATTATTTTTGTTTTTATTGAAAAACCCTTCTTCCATTTTCCAAGGAACATTTCAAAATTTGTGATAATCTGGAGGATAAAGAACTATTTTTCTAGTCTTTTTAGATTCTCTTACAGAAGAGAGGCCAACCTGCCCTTTGCACACACATAGCCAGGCATTCCTTGGCTATGACAGAAAGATAAAGATCACTTACTTTATGTAGCTCACTCGAAAATTCCCCATGTATTTCATAGTTGAAAATAAATTCTCCTCAATCTTCTCTTGTTCCTGGCCATTCTTTTGGCTAATTCCTATAAAGCTTTCCCATTAACCACATGGAGGGCTATGGAAAAAGGTTTTGTTTATTGTAGCGTTCTTTTGAGCTACCTTAAAAGAAACAAACATCTCTAAAATTAAGCTATCCTGTTGTCAATTTTTTTTTAAATTAGAGGGTCCCTCCTGAAGTTTCAAATCTATATAAGCATATCATTCTTTTTTGGGGGGAGGTCCAGTACCATGGTGCTTTCATAGAACTTCTTTATAAATCCTGATACCTAGAGAATTACTGGAGTAGAAACTCATTCTACTGATGTAACTTCTGTGTAGATATGTGTATTCATGTGTGCACTTTTCTTAAAGAAGGGAAGATTACAAAGGAATCTCCCTTCATCAATGCAAAACTCTGTCCCATCTGTAACTTTTACTCTTGACAGTGCCTGGAATGCTAAGATGTTCACAAACTTATTTATCGTAGCCACAAACTTGGGGTATGTCAGAGGCAGGACTTGAATAAATGCTTTCTCATTTCAAGGCCAACTCTCTAGCCACTTATATTCTACTGCCTCTGATATGTACACATAGTCAATCAGTATTTTGTAGCTCAATTACTTTAAATTTAATCCCTAGAAGGCAGTAGAACAATCATTAAATCATCAGTTTTCTAGTATTTAGATACCTCTTTCATAAGTGGATCCTAAGAAAGAAAGAAAGAAAGAAAGAAAGAAAGAAAGAAAGAAAGAAAGAAAGAAAGAAAGAAAGAAAGAAAGAAAGAAAGAAAAGAAAAGAAAAAGCTATCATGTAGCAGCAGGTCTTCAAGTATATGATAGTACATCCAAATCTCAGTTATCTTATGGTTTTTTAAAAGCTATGTAATAGTCTTTGTCTCTGATTAAATATCTTGCCAACGGATGATTACCTGAGAAGATTACTAGAATTGTACACATATTAATGAATTTTACTTATCTGTGATATTGTAAGCCTTTTTAGTGAGTCCTTGAACAGCTTTAACCTTCTTCTGCTATGTGTGATCTTGATTTCAAATCCCATAGTGATTCTTCTTTGTCCATTTGGAGCTAGCCTTCCACAATGATAATTTGAAAGATACAAAAGTGATTGAATATAGCCTTATTTCAATGAAATATTTGGCTGAATCATGGGATTCCTGAAGATTCCATGAAAGGGAGAATTAGGAGGAGGGAGAAGTCAATGTAAGTGGTTTGCATAATAAATTCACTGCTTTGACACTTCAAAAGTTATTTAATTACATCAGCATGAATACTACCCCATTAACAAATCAATCCATCTATAAGAATGTATTAAATACCTACTATATGCCAGCCGCAGTGATAGGTGCTGGTTTCCCCTATCCATATAGATTATGATGCTGCTACACCATAGTGATGGGTTTAAGAGTTGCTATAACCACAAAAATCCATCATTTGGAGACTATTATTTTAATGATGAGCTTTTCTGAACCTAGCTAGTTTGAATCTTGGATGACAATAGTTTCTCTGGAGCCCTATTTAAAGTGTTTCCAGCTTTGAATAGGGTCTGCCAGATTTTGTGTTCTGCTTGTGTACCCTTCAAAAACACAAGATCACCTTCCATGTTGTGCTGAGGCATTAGAGAGGTCTTTCACTGGGAAATACTTCAAATACAGATACATTGAGCATTTGATTAAAATTATATAGTGTAAACTTCTTGATGTTTTGTATGAATTTACAATCCTGAAGAAACCTTGCTTTAAGACATTCAATGGTGAATATCCACAGAAGAATGTTTCAATGAATTGTTCATTATTCTACTACAAAATGATACCTTTTAATAATTTTAATTCTATTCTGTGTTTTATCTATAGAAAATGATACCATCTACTGGACAGACATGGGCTTCAATAAAATTAGCAGAGCTAAAAGAGATCAGACTTGGAAGGAAGATATTATTACAAATGGTTTGGGAAGAGTGGAAGGCATAGCAGTTGACTGGATTGCTGGTATAATCCATGACATTCTTTACCTTTTCACACCAATTTTGCTAAGGGCTTAATTTTTTTTTGTCAAAATTCTGTTTCTGGCTCATAACAATAAACTTTTATCCTTGTAGCCAAAGGGGTAAATAGTCTGTTTTGCTTTCAGCAGCATTCTTTCTAATGCTTCAATAACTCTGGATGTATATTTTTTATGTAGAAGTAGATTATCCAATCTTAACTTTGCCAAAGTCTCCTGAGAACTCCATAAGGCAGGGAAAAAGAAAAAAAAAGCCTTAGAAGTTCTCTTATACCTGAAAACCTTTCTTCAGGTGGCAAAAGTTTCAGTTTATTTTTGACAGCTAAAAGTACCAGAATGTTATTTTAGCTGGAAATCTTTGAGAACAGGATTGGAAGTGTTCATATATTAGGTGTTTATAGCCTTCTGCTAGTAGAAAAATGATGAAAACAAAGCAAAAATATTAAGAAAAATTAAAAAGCAATCTTGTCAATTATGCTAGTTATACTGAACTTCAATTTTAGCATTTCCTGTTATTCTTACTAATGATATTACTAAAATGTTTGGTCTTTCTTCCAGGTAATATATATTGGACAGACCATGGCTTCAACTTGATTGAAGTTGCAAGACTTAATGGTTCGTTCCGATATGTAATCATTTCTCAAGGCCTGGATCAACCAAGATCTCTAGCTGTGCACCCAGAGAAAGGGTAATTTTATTTCAATACATACATATATCATATCTATAAGTAAAGAGAGAGAGAGAAACATAGATTGGGAATATTTTTAAGAGGAGATTTTTGTAAGTTTTATGAATAAAGCAAATTTTCATACAAATATGCATTTTAGATATAACATTTGGAATGAAACCCAGACTTTTGGGTTAAGCCCAATACAATGAAAGAATTTCTTTCATTATGTTGATTCTTTGTATACATGTGTGTATATACATATATATGTGTTTATATATGTATAATATGTACAGACATTATTTCATTTGATAGCAGGAGTCACAGAAATGTTCAAACTAGTATTATACTGGATTATACTTCTTATCTATTCATTGCTTATAAAGTGTGTTTTTCTCCTCTCCCTATTTAAATACTCTATATGAAATTACCAGTGACCCCCTACTTGCCCAATCTAATAGCTTTCTCTTAGTAAGCCTTCTTGACCTTCTACACTTGGTATCCTTTAATCTCCAAACTTAACATTTCTCAAATTGAACTTATTTTCCTTCCCTTTTTTTTAACTATCCCCATTTCTACCAGTGATATGACTATTTTCCCAGTCTCACAAGCAAGAAGTACTATCATAGAATCCTCTGTCTCCATTCATTAAATCCTATCTGCCATGTTATGTCATTTATCTCTTCAAAATATATTTCAGATTTGTTCTTTCCTCTTCATTGTAACTACCATTGCAGAACTGAACTATAGTTGAGGTTTGATAAAGATATATTGATTAATTTAATATATTTTTCAGAACCTTATACTATTCTCAGTCATGCTGTAACAGAAACAATTCCTTACAGAAACATTTTAATATTAATTTAGAATACATCAGCCAAACATTTTCCTCAAGGCTCCAAGATAAGAAAAGACACAGCCTATTAAAATGATGGACTTATCAACAGGAAATCTTTATCCTAGCCTAGAAACTTTGGAAGCATATGTCTATCTTTCATAACACATATTTATTGATATGATTTCCCCCCCAAAAAAACTTAATGGGTAGACAATATAAAACTGAGCATATATTGGTTTCTAGGTTCTATTACATAGTCATTTCAGAGTCAAAATCCATATCCCAAGGGTAAAGCACAGCATTTTAGTATTCTATTTGAGTTAAAACATGGCAGGTATTTTTGCCAAGGGAAAAGGTGAACCATAATGAAGTAAATTAGCTGAATCTAAGATATTTAATGTACCTTGAAAAATGGCCATGAACAATGGCATATATAGTAATGCCTTTTAAAAATATAGAAATAGAAAATCCATATACATTAGTGAAGCCTTAAGACCATTCCCTCTACATGCATTGATTTGCGTGTGTGTGTGTGTGTGTGTGTGTGTGTGTGTGTGTGTGTGTGTGTGTGTGTGTGTGAAAGTATCATAGAAATTATGTATGTGAATGTGTGGACAAACTCATTTGACATGAAATAATAGAGCACTAGATTTGACAAAAGAAGACAAGGTTTCAAATCACAGGTCTGTTAACACTAATTCTGTGATATTGGACAAGTCCCTTCCCCTCTATTTTCCTCAGTCTCCACAGCTGTAAAATGAGAGAGTTGGACTGAGTTGTTTCTAAGACACCTTCCTGCTCTAAATCTTTAAATTCTGCATCTACATATATGAACTTTTTAAAGGTCAATTTCTAGCTAAGCAATTCAAGAAATTGCTTCAGCAAACATAACTAAGTTTAGAGGTGAAGGTTGTTTATAAGGCACACATGAGGAAAATGCTTCATTTTTTGTGACCATGAACTTGGAAATATAAATCTTATGATGACAGTTCTTCTCTAGTGTGACATTTTCATTCTGTACCACTTCCACGTGTCAAACACTTTTGTCATAAGTGTTAAATCCTTGACTACTGAGAAAAATTTTCCCAAGAGGCCCAGTTCAAAGCATAGCACTCCTGCCCAAATATCTCATTAAGAACAGAAAAGGAACCCTTTTCCATGCCACTCAAAATGGGGCTATTTTAAACATAACTATACTTCTGTTATTATAGATACTGATTTGGGAATTCTTGGTCTATACTGAACATGAAATAAAAATAAAATCTACTTTTTGTTTGATAAAACCTGAAAGAGAAACTCTATACCTCTTAAATGACAATTATTTGAAATGATGAGCAAAATGAGTCACCATGGCCTTGCCTCATCTCCCATTAATAGCAGTGGTAGTAGCTATTGGTGAAGGTTCAAGGTGTAGCCATGTACTGGACCAGAAGTTCTGAGAATGATTGTATCCTTCTCAGGCAAGAGGGCTGGAGGAAAGGAATGTATAGAAAAGGCAAACTTCCCCAAAGATGAGCATGCTGTAATTATCATATGTAAAATTACTGAGTTCACTCTATCTTCAGATTTTTGGGATTCTGAGAAAAGCGGGACTATCTAAACAAGAAGAAGAAGAAGAAGAAAAGAAACAGAATAAATATTGTAAAGGAAAATTCTCCATACTTTTGTCCTCAAGTGTTAGGAAATTTTTGTTTGTTTGCATTTTTGAGACTGGGTCTCCCTATCTCTCCTAGGCTGGAAGTACTACAACCTCTCACAAGAAATATCTCCACTGATTGGCATGGGAACTTTTTTTTTTAGGCAGTTGGGGTTAAGTGACTTGCCCAGGGTCACACAGCTAGTAAGTGTCAAGTGTTTGGTCTGAGGCCACATTTGAACTCAAGTACACCTGACTTCAGGGTCAGTGCTTTATCCACTGCACCATGGCATGGGAACTTTAACCTGTGCTGTGTACTAACTGGGCTGGTTAGCTCCTCTTTAGGCAGCCTGGTGTCATCCCCCCCCCCCCCCCCCCCGTCCCAAGGGTTTACAAAATTGGTGCGGGACTTAATGGGGACACCCACTGCAGTTCAGAACTACGAAGCTCAAGCAATTCCTCAACCTTAGATTCCCCAGGTAGCAGGGATTACAGGCATGTTACCATGCCTAACCCCAAATGTTAGATTTTTAATACTATGCTATTTGATTAAAATACCATATGAATATTCTGAAAGGATAGCAAAGTTTCATTTTGAAATTAGGTTGGGACAACTGGACTAATACATGATTTCATTTCAGTAGTCATTTGTTAACTGTCTACTAGGTTCAGGGCAGTGGAGCAGTGGATAGAGCCCCCAGGTTGGATTCAGAAAGGCCTTAGTTCAAATCTGACCTCAGACACTTACTAGTTGTATGACCCTGGGCAAGTACTTTAACCCTGTTTTCCTCATTTTCTTCATCTATTAAATGAGCTGGAGAAGGAAATGGCAAAGCACTCTAGTATCTTTGTCAAGAAAACACCAGGTAGGGTCACAAAGAGTTGGACGTTGTTGAAAACAACTGAACAACAACAAAAGAGGTTCAAGGCATTGTTAGAAACTAGGGATAGGAAGATGGAATAAGACACAGTCTCCATCTTCAAGGTACTTAAAATAGCTGTAATTCAAAGCAGAATTGGATTATTACAATGGAATAGTCTGGGAAGATTGATTTGAGATATATCATAAGGTAGAAATTGCTTCCAGCTGTATAGATCAGGGAAGGCTTCAAGGAGCAGAGGGTAACTGAGTTTGGGCCTTGAAGGAAAAGAGATTTCAATAGGTGTAGGTGTGTTTGGGAGACCAGAAGTCCACTCCAGGTATGGTCAAGCTATTATATTATGATTCACATTTTGCTCCTTGTAATATATCAGGAGATAGAAAAAGACCCATATTTTATCACTTGAAGGATCTCCATTGACATAGATCACAAATGTCCTTATCTTAATATCTTAATTAGATCTTCAGGAAGAGTAGAAATGGTAAATACACACACACGCACACACACACACACACACAGACACACACCACCCCCACCCACCACCCACACCCACCCATATGTATCACCTAGCAGCCAGATGCTCATGGGCCTCTTTAAACTTAGCTAAAATGGTCCTCAGATTACAGATATTCAGTCTATTCCTGTTCTGTATGCAGAGCCTTTTCCATTTTCCCAGGGTATATTAAATTATGAGCTCCAAAGGCATAGCCTTCAAGAATCCAGAACTACCTTCAGGCCACAATGAAGCACTGGCAAAGGATTTTTGCTTAGCTAAGACCTCATAGAAATTATCTATGTTACAAAAATATTTTGCTGTATTCATAATGTACCAAAGTATGAGAGATGATATGCCAGTTACTGATTAACATTCATAAAAAGATATAACTTCTCTGAATGAGCAAGTTTTATACGTTTAAAGAAGTTGATGTGGCTTTTTCTAGACATTTGAGTGTTTTGTTTTTGTTTTGTTTTGTTGGAGCTTTGCACAAAATTAAGTGGATACATTGAATGAAAAATGGTTTTCCAATAGAATTGGAAGACAAGTTTTTTAATCCATCCACAGGGCTATTTTATTTACTCCTCAGTAGCTCCAAGAGTTCAGAAAAGCTCCTTGGAAGATTCAACTTTTTCTAAAGGCCATGTTTTCTTCACTTTTTCTATACCTTCTTGGTGGTAATAAACATGTCCAATTGTACCAAATCCTGAAATGAAAATCACATTGTAGTTCTGGAAGTGCATGTCTACCTATTTTCAAAAATCAATAAATCCAGAAGGATTCTAACCAAATAATGCCTGAGATAAGGATCAGTGAGATTCCTGGAAGCTTGTTGGTCATTGGAAGTGGATTATCTTGATATCACAGGTGGTGTGTGTCTTCATTTTAGTTTCCGTGAAACTCAGAATGCTGATCTAAAAATGTCCAATCAAGGGGCAGCTAGATGGCACAGTGGATAGAGCTCTGGCCTTGGAGTCAAGAGGACCTGAGTTCAAATCCGACCTCAGACACTTGACACTTACTAGCTGTGTGACCCTGGGCAAGTCACTTAACCCTGATTGCCTCACCCCCCTCCAAAAAAAAGGCAAAGAAGAAATAAATAAAAAAAATGCCCAATCATCACACTCACCAGCAACTAAAATATAAAAACTCCAAAGGCCTCAGTAGAAG